AAGTTGGCCCAGCTCGAGAGCTCTTGGCTGAACTTGTTGCATATTCAACTACCTGTGTTTGCTTGCTTTGGTTAGCTATTAAATATCAATAACAAGATCATAAAAATACGCGACAAACATTATTTTAGCATTTGCATATATCGCGCGCTCTGTCGTACGGCTCTCCCCTTTATAAATCGGTTTATGATGTTGTTTGTCTGCTGACTTCCCAACCGCAAAAATGCATCTTGCAGCAGGTAGCAGCGCATATCAGGTGAGATCGCTGCAAATGAGCAAAAGAGGAAAAAAACACATTTCGCTAGCTAAGAGTTTGCTCTAAGACTTTTCCTGCTTATATCTGAGGTACAATTGCGTAAATCCTTGTACAGGACATGCCGGAGCGGCAACGAAACGATGCTCATATGACATTTTCTATGGATAAACAATTTGTACAGCTTACGATAAGTCAGTAAAGTAAAAGAGGATATAGAAAAACAAATCTATTTGCGGGGAATTCACAGCATTTTTGCATTCACAGATTTCCCTTGTGTTAGATAATAGTTTCTAAGCACGGAAGATATTGTATAGACTAGCATGAATAATGAATGTGGAAAGGAACAAAGAAGTAAAATCAAGTGAAAGAACCTATAGAATCGTAGTTATATAATAGAAGTGTGAAGGAACAAAGAACTAGAAGCAGGTTAAGAAATAATAGGGAAGAAGCAGAATCTAGTGAAGCATTTAATATTTCTAGAAGCTTATTTGAATATGGTATTTGTTTATATTTTCCTAAAGAACTTCAACTCTGTTTAAAAATTGAAATATCTCAAAATCCCTAAATGAATCGCTAATATTTTGTATTTTCCCCCTGAGCCGGTGGAAATTTTTCACAACACGAGGCGGAAAGAAACCCCTTAAAATCCCATTGACTACACAACTTTCGTATGGTGGCGGATGAGAAATGTTGCCGCAATATTTGGCTAACTTGTTGCATGCGGTCGTTGTACAAACATTGAACACGAGACGCAATTTTCGGCGGAATTCCTCGATTGCCCAACTCGAGAAATAGATGTTTTCCCACTAAAAGCCTTAACGGCTGCTGTTGCAACATAAATATTTATTTAAATATTATGATCCACTCAGATTTCGCATAGTAGTGTGAAAACCGGGAAAATGCCCGCACAAGGACGTTCGTTTATATCTGAGCGATACGTTGAGAGAAGCGTGTTTTATTGAGGACAAATATGAAGGACACGACACGACTCTCATCGGTCAATGTCACAGCTGAGAAGTGCTCTAGAAATTTCCGATTCGAGCTCCGTTATTTAGACTCTTTGCAGTCTGTCAAAGGATTAAGTGCAGTCAGCGAAATATGTGACGACGTGTCCTGCACTGAAGTGAGTCACATTTTAATTGCAGTTACTCAGGTAGTGCAGAGACGACGACGACGAGGAAGACGAACACGAAGACAGAGTCATGAACTAGTCGCAGACACGTAACGACATCCAAATTATTAATCATGTCGCCAGACAACGGGCGTGCATGCAGAGAGATTTATATCAATGTCGGACTCTTTTTAATTTGCAAATCAACTAGTCTCGATTATTAACTGACGGGAGACAGGCAAATTAATGATGAAAGAAAAGAGAGAGAAAGGATGAGATTGAGGAGCTTAAGAAGTCCCTCTCTTTTAGCTTGAAAGTTGTCGCTTTCGCTGTGTTTCAGATTGTTTCAGATATTTCCATAATAAATGATCGCTCTTACCCCCCCTTTTTGAGATTTTGAGGATTCCCCTCTCTCTTTTTGTTAGACAGATTGACAAGTCCCTCTCCCTGTACAAGGAGATTTTCTCTGTTTTTGCTAAATATATAAGCAAGAAAAAAGGCTGTACTAGATTAGTAATATACATAGAGTAATATACATATATTCTAGACTATATATAAATATCAGACTTACCAGGCTTACCTTTTATTTCTACTTATGACTATACTTCATACATGGTATATAACATATATATACCTATTGGTCTCAGAATTCATGCTTGGCAAAATGCCTCGGCGCTAGTCAGCGCTTCTGAGTCATATTCTAATAGTATCTACATGGTGATTTAACTGTCAATTAAATAATTCAAGCTATAGGCAAAGTCTCTTGTGTTTCATGGCACTTACCTCATGTTTGAGTGAGCTTCAAAACATGCGAAACAACGGAACTAGATACAAATGCACCCTGACAACTTTATCAATATACAATCCCAATCCGATCTGCAATTGAATAGATTAAATTGATTGCTATGGAATATGTCTTATTTAAAATTTGTTGGTCTCTTTCATATGATATGATATACACAAGTTAGATTATTCTCTACATCGTACTTTTCTAATCCATCCTTTCTAAAACCACTTGAGCCACATCAAAT